ATTAATCAGAAGGCTTAGCCTAAGAATGACAGGTTGTTAAAAGCATTGGCCAACAATGCACTTGTTGGGACACAGTAAAATGTAATCGTCGGGGTTATGCTTTCCATCAATTACAGTTATTCCAGTTTTTAAATGGAGTTATTTGACAAAACTGTAGTTTAAGCAGTGCACCTCATATACTCCTAGTCCCAGCATTTGTCCTGCGAAAACGGTGGTTATCGGGGTGTTGCGGGTGGGGATTAAGGATAGGCAGTGGAATATGCTCTAATAACTTTTATATGCATTTCTATCTTGTTGTATTTATAAATTTTATTGATTTATATATTTTTTGATAGAAAAGATTATTTGGGAAACAGAAACAAACTTTATTGCAAATTTTCGACCCCGATTATCAAAATGTGGTTTTTTTGAAATTCCTGGAAAAAATGGTGGTTAAGAGGCCGTCTACTTCAACTAACCCGAGGTCCAACTTACCATTTTGGAATAAGGGTAGTATAATCCGCGGCGCAAAGCGTCGTACACAACTTCAATTTACATGTGGTGCAACTTACTCCCAGCGGCCGCGGGAAACAAACTGAAGTGAATTTTTCCACGTTACACTTTCTTATACAAATTTCGTTCACTGCCCATCCTATTTTCCCACCCCCAAAACCCCTATAACCACCATTTCCAGAGGAAAAAAAGGTTCGACAAGGGGTATATGAGGTACAATACTTAAAGTATCTTTCCCAGTCATTTTTATAAACATGTCCTCCGTTCTGCTTAATAGGAATTTGTGCAACATGCCAATATATGCTAAAGATTGATACTCTTTCGCTAATCGGCACTGACTCAGTTTGTGATGCTGATTATCATTTAGCCTATTCTGAAGTTATTTTTGCCATGAAAGGATGTGGGCATTTTAACGAACTTCGTTCTGACCACTGTAAAAACGTATATATTGTAAAAACAAGCTACTTAAATAGTGTGCGTTTTTATCATTCATTTTGATTGCCTTTATAATAGGCGTAAGCGAAGAGATTATTTCTCGTACTTACTTGGTAAGAAATTACGCTTTCTTTAAATGTTATACATAAAGAAGGGGTATCTTTCGGTTTTAAAAAATGTCCCTAAATTGCCGAATAATTTTGAAACCTATTGACTGCATGTCTCTCGCAGGGTGTCCAAATGCAGTAGACTCCCTATCTCATTAAATGTCACCCGGAGTTCTAAAATGAGTTTTTGATTGGAACATATTAATTGCGGACGGTTGTAATAGAGACGATCGTACAGCCTAATCTTAGCATATTTTGGACACTTCAGGATGCCGGCTTTTTAATGAGCTTCTTTCTGATCGCAAAGAAAAAGTATGTACTAAAAAAAGTAACTACATAAGTAGTATACTTGTTTGTCATTACTTTTGACTGCCTTAATAGATTCAGCTATATTTTTTGGAAAACATGCACAAAAACATTATTTCTTGAACTCGTTTGGCAGAAAATTACGCCTTCTTTAAATGTTAGACTTAAAGAAAGGGTATATTTCGGTTTTACAAAGGTTTCTAAGTTGCCGAATAATTTTGATACCCAGTGACTGCTTTACTGGAATTCAACGTTTACAAACTGCGCATGGTGTACATCATGTTTAAGGAAAAGTAAGTTATCGTCTACAGTTTGAGAAAGAAGCCACATAGTTCTTATAAAATGTTGCAATATATGTGGAGCATGCTTTGTACAGTAAAGGCAGCATTAATAAATCGACGGATACGACGTATTATGAATGAACACCTCACAATCGTAAAAAAGCTCATAATTAGAAATTTCTCTAAAACCGAAGGATTCCCTTCATTTAAGTATAGAATTTAAAGAAGGTATCATTTGCTACCAAATGACTTCAGGAAATACATTTTCGTGTACGTTTTACATAAAATATCTTCGAATTTATAAAGGTAGCCAAAATCAAAGATAGAAACGCACACTATTTAAGTAGTTAGTTTTTACAGTACATACGTTTTGACAGTGTTCAGAACGAAGTTCGTTAAAAAACCCGCATCCTATCATGGCCGAAATAACTGCAGGATAGGCTACATAATAATCAGTATCACAAGCTGAGTTAATGCCGATTAGCGAAAGAGTATCAATCTTTCGCATACATCACATGTCGCACGAATTCTGGCGCATACTGTAGGTGGCTCTGTTAAAAATCATAGGCCTACACCTAAAAAGTTTGAGGAATAGGCCAACAGGGTATCTATGTGGACAAATAAAATTTGATCATCGGGATTGTGCTCTCCTTTCAGCACTTTGTTCCCCGTTTCCGAATGAATGTCCTCTGTTCGGCACCATAAGAAAAAGCTTGCGTGTAAGAATTCAAGTTTTTTCCAGAACCTAATTTTATTGTCTCAAGTAAACCTGGCAAATGGAGAACCCTTTGGGTCTTAGAACCGGATATCCGACTCTCCTTAAGTGTAGCCAATGAAAAAATTAACAGTTTGAAGGTACATTATGGAGAGTGTTGGGTTTGGACAGCGTGCTTTTCGTCGAAGCTTTCACTTGAACTTGACTCTTCTACCAGCTGCTGAAATCGATATACAGTTTTCCTAGCCCACAAAAGGGTGGCTAGAAAAACATCCGCGACTGATTTTTCAGACAGCTTGCCTGGAAAAGGGAAAACTCTTCCTTGGAAAATCTGACCCAGAAATCGTACAGCGACGGCCTCATTTACCCTAATGTGTTTCGTACTCGCTTTATTCCAATGGTAATTGAATTTGCCGTTGTTACCTTCTAGCACTGCCTTGGTGCGAAGGGAAGGCCTCCCGATAGTATGAGCCCTATCAAAACAATCTAGATTTAGTCAACCCAGATTAAATGCCTATCATATTGATGTATACGGGGTCAAGACCCCTAGGGATGTTCCGCCAAGAGTGCTTTTCATTGGTTAAGAATTATCCAGCCGTTGTAATATAAATGGCCCCAACG